ATATATATATACACACACACACACACACACAGACACCAGAGGCCTGGTGCACAAAATTTGTGCATTTGGGTGGAGGGTGGTCCTTCAGCTCTGCCTGAGCCCTCTCGCACTCTGGGAGCCCTCTGGGGATGTCTGACTGGTGGCTTAGTCAGACATCCTTAGCACTGCCTTGGAGGTGGGAGAGGCTCGTGCCACCATCACTGTGCTCACCATCCATGAGCCCAGCTTCTGGCTGAGTGGCGCTCCCCCCGTGGAAGTGCACTGACCACCACAGGGTATCTCCTGCATTGAGCAGGATTTGGCCAAAACTGGCTCTCTGACATCCCCTAACGGATCCCGGATTCCGAGAGGGCGCAGGCCAGGCCAAGGGACCCCACCAGTGCACAGTTGGGGACAGGGAGGGACACAGGAGGTTGGCCAGCTGAGGAGGGACCATGGGAGGGCTTCAGGTTATGTCCAGCCCATCTCACTCAGTCCCGATTGGCCAGACCCCAGCAGCAAGCTAACCTACTGGTCAGAGCATCTGCCCCCTGTTGGTCAGTGCATGTCATAGTGAGCAATTTAGCGGCCTTAGCATATCATTAGCATATTACACTTTGATTGGTTGAATGGACGACTGGACATTTAACATATTAGCCTTCTATTATATAGAATATATATTTTTTCTTGTAAGAAATTGGTTTATGTGCTTATGGAATACAGGAAGTCCCAACACCTGGTGGACTGGAAACACAGAAGAGCCAAAATATAGTTCCATTCTGAGTCTGAAGGCTTGAGAAGCAGGAGAGCTGAAGGTTCAAGTTCCAGTCTGAGGTTGAGTCTAAGGGCAGGAGAAGATGTATGTTGCAGAACAAGCACACCCAGACAGAGAGAACGTCTCTCTTAACTCAGCCTTTGATTGTATTCAGGCCTCCAATGGATTGAATGATACATGCCCACACCGGGGAGAACAATCTGCTTTATGTGGCTCACCAATGCAAATATTATCTCACTTCACAGACCCATCCAGAATAATGTTTAACTGAATATATGAGGATCACATGATGCAAATTGAAACAAAATTAAACATCACAAGTCTACTCCTTGTCAATTTCACACCCATACATGCTTCCCTAAACCATACTTGATCTCCAAATAAAGACAATAACAAGATGTGTAATTTCACATAACATGATACAACTATCCTGCATACTGAAATCACATTGATTCCTCCCCCAAAAGAGGTAAAGTCATGTGTACTCTTCCCCTTGATATCCTGTAACTTCAATATAATTATGTAATATGAACAATTCTTAAATACTATAATATAAAGTCAATTCATCTTACGTTGCATGATAAAAGAATAGGAGAGGGAAAAAATGATAATTGCTTAACTTATGCAGACATATAAATATATCCCTAACAGATAAAGAGGACATATTTATAACAATTTACAGTTCTCATTTCCTGTAACTAGTCATGAGATCATAGCTGGAATTTGTAACTACTTTCTTGCACTACCAAATATTTGTCTTTACCATGCATCTCATCAGGTTCAAAGACAATATATAGCAGACATCAGCTAGTGAAGACACAAGTTTCAGAATATTGTTAGGTTTGCGAACACGTTAAGATTATTTTCCAATGCAAACATGTTTTATCCATTTTAAACACCCAATGAACAGCCTTATACACTAAGAAGTTTATTTCTAAGATGGGTATGGATCAGAAGAAGAAAGACAATTTATGAAAAAAATCTTCATAATTTCATTAAATTATTTAATGGCCAGTGGAAAAGTCATGCATGTTTTATATCAGTTGAAATTTCATATATACACAAAATGTCAATTTAAAAAAGTAAATGAGAACACTGTGTTTGAAAGAGTACCCTCCCAAAATCCCATAGAGAATAATATATGAGATTAAAATTTTCTCTCTGATTGGTCTCTCTGATGACAAAACCTGTGCATCTACAATGTTATACTGAAAGGAGGTAAAATAACTTCAAAATCCAATATTTTTTCCTAAACTTATCTCCATAATAAGTTGAGGAATTCCTTATATACCTTCTTTTGAGTTTAGTAATTTTAAATGTAATCAAGTATATATTAATATTTTATACTCAAGATCTAAGTTAATAACCTTATTTTTGTAAATGTACTAGAGGTTTAAGTAGTGGTAACATTCTATTAAAATATTTTGGAAACACTGTTTTGAAAAAGATATATTCATTCTTGTTATATTTTAAATTTGGTCCATTATGGTGTAGAAATACAATTGTTTAAAATTTTTGAGAATGATAAAACTAAAATGCTTAGTTTTCCCACAGTGAAAATTAAGATAACCATTGCAATCATTGTTCCAGTGCTGTTATGTGGAGATAAATTGATCTGTGCCAACATTATTTTCCTGTAATAACAATGCATATATTTATAGAACTCTTTTTTTTCTACTTCTCTGAAGCTTCACACTGACCAAGATAAAGGAGATGGAAATTTAAAATACATATTAACAGGAGATGGGGCTGGCAGTATATTCGTTATAGATGAAAATACAGGAGATATTCACGCTGCAAAGAAATTAGACAGAGAAGAAAAATCCCTGTACATACTTCGGGCCAAGGCTATAGACAGAAAGACTGGACGGCAGGTGGAACCTGAATCTGAATTTATCATTAAAATCCATGATATAAATGATAATGAACCAAAATTCACAAAAGACTTATACACTGCGAGTGTTCCTGAAATGTCTGGAGTAGGTAGGTATATGCTAATCCATGTAAACTAACTTGTGTGTTTGTTTGCTAAGATAATTATTATGAACATTCAGTCATGATATGTGGCCTCTTTCAAGATGAGAACTATAGCCCTAGCTGGTTTGGCTCAATGGATAGAGCATCGGCCTGTGGACATAAGGGTCCTGGGTTCTCCAGGGTTCAATTCTGGACAAAGACACATGACCTGGCTTTGGGCTCCATCCCCAGTAGGGGGTGTGCAGGAAGCAGCCAATCAATGATTCACTCTCATCATTGATGTTTCTAACACTCTCTCCCTCTCACTTCCTTTCTGAAATCAGTAAAAATATATTTTAAAAAAGATAACAACTATAAATGAAAATTACTACTTAATGTTAGCTTTCTCACTTCTAAATATTTTCAACAGTTTATATCTTAATGTTTCCTGTTATGTTGTAACTGATATCTAAAATGATCGCTATTGAGAATAATTATTTTATTACATTTCAACTAACATTTTCACTTCTACTTAAACTGCCATTCAAATGGCAGTCAAGTTGAGTATTTTTGTCTGAAATGAAAGGAATACTAAGTATTAGCAGTTTGGGCAGTTTTGTTCAAATTGTTTTGCATAACAACTAATGCTCTTGCATTTGACAAATTTCTTTTGATCATCTCATTTGGTCACTGAAACAACTTAATGTTGTAGGCATGGGAAATAGAACTTCAAACCCCCATTCTGTTAATTAGGAACCCAGGATTCAGAAAGATTAAGCAACTGAATTAAGATCAAATAACCTGGTAGCATAACAACAACATTTCAAGTCTTTTTATGTTATTTAGTTACTATTGTGCAAACTGGAAATACCTGCTTCATTTTTAAGGCTGCCCATAGTTTTAAATACCATCAATTAGGCAATGATTTTTATCTGCATGTCTGACTACATTTAGCTCTACTTTTGTAAAAGGTTTAGATTTGGTAATGAGATAAGAGCTGACTCTTAAATCATATATTTCTAAAAAAAAACAAACCTATAAAACTCAGTGAAGTAAGCTTCCATAATATCCGAACTATGCAACTGATTTTCACAAATTGATGCTATTTAGTTGAATACTATTTTAAAATCAGCTTTAAGTCTATAAGTTTGACATTATTATAATTAATACATGTTTCAGTCTGAAATAAATTCTTTATGAGGAAAAATAAATTTATATCCACCTTTACTGAGTGATTGATGTTAAATGTTTTGTGCCATGTAGTCAGAAGAACTAAGAGTTTGCATAAAAGTTATAATTTCCTCTAACATCAAAGGAAATCTCATCTGTGTGAGAAAACTGCAGTTATACTGCCTTTTCAGGCATTCATTTCAGTAAAATGAAAGAGACTTATCAAATTAGACAGGACTCCTATGCAATCATAAAGCATAGGATGAAATTTAGCAGTTGTGTTCTCTTTAATACTTTTAAACATCTATTATCCTGGTACAGTCCCATGAAAAGTACTGGACTGGTCCACAGGGGTCAACAGTGGGCCAGTGCAAACCTACATCATGATCTCTTTGTGGGCTTACATTTGAGATGAAGATATATCTAAAAATTGTATGCATACAAGTTCTTTGTTTGATCTTCTCCCACCCACCCATCCACCCCTAATAGGGCAGTGAAGGCCTGGGGTGGAGGGGTGGGGGCAGACTAGAAGAGGTCTATGGGGTAAAAAAGGGGACATGTAATACTTTCAACACTAAAGATATGTTTTTAATGGAAAAAAAGATACATCTAAAATTTATACTCTCCATCTCAACTTCCTATTCATGAGCATTCTAAAGCAGTTTGATTTTCCAGTTAACACCCTTTAATTTTTTAAAAACTGTATATTTTTTATTGATTTCAGAGAGGAAGGGAGAGGGAGAGAAAGATAGAAACATCAATGATGAGAAAGAATCATTGATTGTCTGCTTCCTGCATGCCCCCGGTTGGGGGATCGAGCCTGCTACCCAGGCCTTTGCCCTGACTAGACTGTGACCTCCTGGTTCATAGGTCAATGCTCAACCACTGAGCCATGCTAGCCAGGCAACACCATTTAATTTTTCTAAAACGTAATTGTTTTTCTTGTATATATGTTATTTGGCAGATATTTTGACACTTAATAGTACACAAACTTCCATTTTTCCTTCTCCAAAAACATGATATACCCATGGGAGTAAAAAGTATAATTGAGATGACAGAAATATTTGAATATGATATATTTTGATAATAATTGATTTAAATTTGTATAACTTCAGATTTTCAAAACATTATTTCATTTTAAAAAAACACAATATTTATTAGAGACTATTTTTTAAATTGACACTATAACACCTTCACCCAGCCATCACCCCCTCTCCCCTGGCCTCCACCACACAGTTGTCTGTGTCTATGGGCAAGGTATATATGTCCTTTGGCTAATCTGATATTTAAACTGAATAGTATGTGCTTTCTCTTATATTGTTTTGCATATTCAATGGAATATTATTATCTGTACTTGAGTAATCAAAAGTAGGTTTATAGTTATAATACAAATAGATAATAGAATAATTAATAGATAAAAATACAAGAATATACTGTTTCAAGTACTCACAACTGTAAGCCTACTTTTGCCAACCGCTGCATACCTAATTCAAATATTTTCTTTCTCATATGAAATACAAATACAGTCTATAGATCCTATGAGAATTTATTACAGGACTGGAGTAAGTATGTCTGTACAGGTTTTTTTTTCTTTTTTAAAAGTCCTTCTATTGTTCAATAGCCATAATAAAATATAGAATATATAAGTTTATGAATGGAAGAAGGCTTACAGCTTTTCTTATTTAAAAATCCCTTCCTGTAAGGCAATCTACATTTCATTTACATTAGACAGATTATAGGCAGTACACTTTTTTATTAATGCAGATATTAAAAATCAGAGGGAAGACGGGGAAAGTGGGAGGGCAAATGGGAAGAGATCAACCCAAGAACTTATATGCATATATGCATAACCCATGGTCACAGACCAATAGGGTGGTGAGGGCCTGGGGAGGGGTTGTAGGGGGCTGGAAGAGGTCAATGGGGGAGGGAAAAGGACATATATACTATTTTCAACAATGAAGATTTTTTAAAAATTAAGCAGAAAATATCAGAATTTGGACCACTGCCAGTTGCATTTCCTCCACCTCTAAATTTACAAAAAAAAAACCAAAAAAAAAAAAAAAACAACAAAACAAAAAAAACAACCTGAAAAACAGCAGGCAACAGTATGGCTCTTGTTGCAGCTTTTGGTACTAATAAATACAGATAAGAACTCCAGGTAAGTCTTGGTCCCATTTATAGAGGATAGTAATTATCCTTTATTGCTAATATTGACATCACTGCATTAATTACTTCCTCCTTGGCCCACCCATAGACTTTGCATGTGTATCTAACTTTAAATATATACAATATTTACATGCAGAAGATAAAATACTCGGTATAATCATTTATTTTAATTCATAAGGATGAGCCCCAACGAGTTAAACTGACTTGCTCCAAAATACACAGAGATGGTTTTTTACTGTACTGTTTTTTTTTGTTGTTGTTAAGGTTGATAAATACAGTAATAGCTGGATAGATATAGTGCTTTACTATTTATCTCTACTGTAAAAGAGTTATGCTTAGACAAAACCTAGTTTGAAAACTTCTAATTTTATGATATTCTTGGTAACTACTCAAAAGCATCACTTTTCATCTTATTATTTAATTCAAATGCCCCCCATCGATAAATTTAGATACAAATAAGAGTAATGGAAGGAGGAGACTGTATTTTACAATAAAATTTTCTAGAATTTTTTGCTGATTAAAAAAATTAATATAAATTCATGATAATTTTGAAGATGTGATTTTTCTCTGCTTTTTCCTGTACAAATAACCATTTATAGAGGGAAACTAAAGGGTGATACTTACAAAGTCTGTCTGACTATGTGTAACTCATATACGGGCAGTTAAATCTCATGCGTAATCAAATAATAAAGCTGCCTCTATAATTGAAGTAGTACACAATGATTAAATTCTAATATTAATTTTATGATATTAGTAATTTTATTTAAATTAAATAGTTAAAAGACTACTCCTATTAACTTTGGGGGTAAATAACATCTAATAAAAATGATTTTTTTTTTTTAGAATTTACCCTCTTTTCATTATTTTCCTCTGATACTCTGTATACTGTTCTCTCGCTGTTTATTTTTGTCTTAATATATTTGTCTCTTCTTTTTCTCTCTCACTGACTCTTCTCCTTTGCTTTTGCCCTCTGCCCATGTATCTCTCAAAATCATGTCATAGTTCTTTTTAATTCTCAGAGTCATGTGCACATCCCCCTTTTTAGTGAAAATCTAATATTTCCAATTAACTCTTGGAATATGATACACATTAGTGTCTTCAACAATAAAGATATTTTTAAAGTTACAAAAATAAAAAGGAATGAAAGAGAAAAGTAAAGATTTTTTTGGAGGTAGTATCATTTAAGGAAATGTCTTACAACTAACCATGGTCTAACGCACTACATTATCAGCAGTCAATTTTCAGAAGGATAGCTTCTAATTGAGATGTATTTAAGTGTCTGTGTTTGGGTGGGCATTTGTGTAGGAACATCTGTAATACAAGTGACTGCAACTGATGCGGATGATGCCAACTACGGAAATAGTGCCAAAGTGGTCTACAGCATATTGCAAGGACAGCCATATTTCTCAGTGGACCCAGAATCAGGTAACAACATTTAATACTTGGTCCCTTTCTCATTACATAATGCATCTGGATGCACAGTTAATTTGTATATATTTTTTGGTATTTTAAAAACTATCTATTTAGTATCTGTTTCTATGTATTCCCTACATTTATACATGGGAATAAAATCAAATTTCCTGTAATTTAAATATATTATTTGAATCAACTCTGGACTATTTATTGAGTTTAAATTTATGACTCTAAGTACAACATGTCAGCACTTTCTGTGTTCTACTCAAACTTAAAGAATGTGACAACCATCAAAATTGAACTTAATTGTCTGATGATTTTTGGAGTAAAATTTTTTTGTTCACCAAAAGAATAAATTGATTTAGAAAAACTCATTTCCTAAGCAGTAGTCAATAGAGGAATTCTTTCTGTTCTGTCAATAATGTTAAAGTGGTTATAGATTGAAATATGTATTTAGGTACACTAACATTTTCTCTGTTTGTTATGATTCACTTCTGTAAAATGGACCTCGAATAGCACCATTTTAAAAATCAGTGATTAAATGATAAAATATTTCTTTACTTTTCCGAAAGGTATAATAAAAACTGCATTACCAGACATGAGCAGAGAAAACAGAGAGAAGTACCAAGTGGTTATACAAGCCAAAGACATGGGCGGCCAGATGGGAGGCCTTTCTGGAACCACCACAGTGCACATCACTCTGACGGATGTCAACAACAACCCACCTCGATTTCCCCAGAGTAAGAAAGGTCTCATGTTGGAAGGCTTCTCCAACACACTACAAAGAGAGGCTAATACTTGTAATAGTGGTTTCACAGCTAGTTTACACATAAAGGTATAACACGTGTCCCCGAAATATATCACAATTCCCCACAAAAGTGAAAGTCATTATGATCATTTTCATCAGTGAGTAGGTAGTAAGAAACACACACACACACACACACACACACACACACACACACACGGAAATGATGTCCTTTTGGCAACTTTAATGATCCTCTTCTACCTTTAGAAGAGCTGTAAAGTTTTCCAGACGATCATTCTCAACCTTCACTAAGATCAACTTGCTTTGTTTCTTATTTCTTTCCTGGTTAGGAGTGTGGACTCGCAAATCTGACTGCCTGGCTTCAAATCCCATGTCTATCATGGGTCTTTCCTCCATTCTCTTGTCTGTACATAAGAATTATAATCCCTTGTTTAATTGATTCTAAAACATAGACGGGGTGCTTTAACAGTCCTTGAAATGAAGCACTATTTTAAAATCACTGCATGTTGGTTCAATTACAGCATTTTTCCCCCTTTTTAGTGGCTCCTACAGTTATAGTATACCTTGGTTGTGATGGCATTGTGAGACATGTTAAAGTTTGCTGGTGTCTGCTACCACTGGTGAAGGTTAAATCAGTCAGTGCTCTTTCAGTCATCACCATCTTGTATGCTATGAGGTCCTACAAAAGCAGATTTCCAGGCTTTGCTAAAAATGTTTTTATTCTGCAGGAAATAAACATATAAAGGCCCCTATCTTAAAATGTTCAGTTAAGGACCTCAAATTTAAATTTATGACATTGATTCCAATATAGTAAAGCATTTTTCCAGGCTAAACAAACTTAAAATATTTGATGATTCAGCTTTGGATGGTGGACTTAAACATATAATGAATGTTAAAAAAATAAAGTTTGCTAATAAACATAATTAATAAGTTGAATTAACATAAATCTAGACTTTGTTTTGAGTTTCCTTCAATATAAATCAAGAGTATGGAATGAATTCTCAAATGGCTTGCCATTCTATCATTCTATAATCTATTGTAAACTTAGCAAAAGTTTTGGAATTATAATAATAATAGTTAAAAATGTTCAAGAACTAGCCCCTGAGCTAAGCATATTAAAGACATAATTTCATGCAATTCTAACAAACCTATGAGTCTATTGCTATCATTATCATTTTATAGATATTGAAATCAAGGGTTAGAGAATTTAACTAACTTGGCCAGTGATGGCAATTTAAGTCCAGGCAGTTATATTTAGAAGTTCCTCTTCTTTAAAATATAAATATATATTTGTATTCATTTCAGATAGGAAGGGAGAGGGAGAGAGATAATCACTGATTGGCTGTCTAACTTCACACCCCACACTGAGGATGGAACCTGCAACCCAGGCATGTGCCCTGACCCGGAATCAAACTGTGATCTCCTGAGCCACACTGGCCGGGCAGATGTCCCTCATCTTAACCACCAACCAAACTTAAAAGAGAACAGACGTTGAAGTCAGAGAGCTTTTGTTCTGCATTCTGTTTTCCCCAATTTTACAGGATGATTTTCTTGAGCCCTATTCCTGAGGATAATATACCCACCTTGGTCCTATGAAAACAAATATTAGAAATAAGGTAACATAGAGGGCCTCTAGACTTATATAGAGTTCAGCACATATTAAATGTTTAAAAAGCATTTCTAACTTTCATTGACAAATTTTTGTAAGTTTTTTTTTCCTATTTGTATTTTGAATAGTCAGAAACTAAAATGCTTTCAGAGATAGCACATACAATATAATGGTTGGCTAGAACTGCAGGAAACAGAAATATTCACATCCCACTTGAAGGCATCAACAGGTTAAAAATTGCTGTGTATAAGTTAATTTTTTCTATCCCTGATTTAGAATATAAAAATAAATGCTTAAGAGGGCAAGAAACCAAATATGCACTGCTTATCTAGCGCTTTCAACATCTTCATTACACATTTTTATGTTTATTAAATTATTTAAAAGATTTATTTGGTTCTTGCCCTAAGTCAGAGTTCTGGATTCTGATATTAGGCCTGCCATCAATTATCTGAATGACCTTGGGACATTCACTTAATCTTTCTGGAACTTATATTTCTCAATTACAAAATGAGAGTGTTCTGCCTTTATAAATTATGTTTCCAACTTAATAAATCTATAATTTTTGACAGCTTACAACTCAATATGATGAAAAACTCTCCCAATTTAAAATTAATTTATTTAAGTGAAAAAGGCAAAGGAAATAAAGGATTTCTGTTATCGAGAGATGAAATGTCAAGAGCTCTGATTTAATTTTCAGGTACGTATCAATTTAATTCCCCCGAGTCTGTCCCTCTCGGAACACATCTTGGAAGGATAAAAGCCAATGACCCCGATGTGGGGGAAAATGCTGAGATGGAATACAGCATTGCTGAAGGAGACGGAGCTGACATGTTCGATGTCATCACTGACAAGGATACACAGGAAGGGATTATAACTGTCAAACAGGTTTCTTCTCGCTGTCTTCATTTTATCATTGAGCGCTGTATGGTTGATTTTTGCTTTTCAGTTCAGGGAAGAAAAAGGCCTAGGATTTATTTTTCCATCCTTTACATGCTGTCTATCCTTCATGTAAGCGGGGATGCTTGTGATTACACTTCAAGTAAGTTAAGCGCCTTCATCATTGACACTTAAAAAGTGATATAAAAACTTGGCTGCTTGTGCTTATAAAGGCAACAATCAAACCAGGGTCAGCTAACCTCTGAAGCACTATTTCATGGTTCTCCATGGCATGCAAAGTAGGCATGCAGCCCTCGCTTTATATCATGCACTTTTTAGCATATTTAAATTGTGAAATGTGATGTTCTATTCAAGGTGATGAGGCCTGAAGATGCTATGTGTTTTTGGTTGGATTTCTTGATTTTTAAAGCAGTGTGGGAGAAGATTTTGAAGTTTACATGGGATAATCCCATGTAATATTGATAATATTTATTATTTTCTATTGCCCCAATTGCTTGCTTTTATTTACCTCTTGCTTTCCACAGAGTTCAGATGAATGATATTTTTTCTTTTCATAATACCAGTTTTAGAAATGTAGGACCTAAGGAAGCGACATATGAATAGTTTGAAAAATCTCTATTTTTCCCCTCTAGCTTTAACTTTGTATAAATTTAGTAATAATAATAGTAATAAAAATACTAAATAACCTATATATCCACGAGGTAACAAACCTGTGACCACCAAAATGTGAAATGTATTACTAAGAGGAAATCAGTACTAATGTGTATATGATAATATTTAGTTATATGCTATAAATATGTGTAACGTTTAACCATACTTACTGACTTATTTGATAGATCTATGAAGCAATAATTGGGGAAGTATTTAACCAGAATTACTGGTTCCATTAAGAGAGCTAGTTATTAAATATTGAATTTTTCTTCCATTGTTATGCCTGCTATGCTATACTAATTTTTCTTATTTTATTTAACTTCAGAATTTAGATTTTGAAAACAAAATGCTGTACACTTTAAGAGTGGATGCAAGTAACACACACCCAGATCCACGATTCCTACACCTGGGACCTTTCAAAGACACAGCTGTGGTCAAAATATCCGTGGAAGATATAGATGAGCCTCCTGTGTTCAGTAAAATTTCTTACTTAATAGAGGTCGATGAAGATGTAAAGGAGGGCAACATCATTGGGCAAGTTACGGCATATGACCCAGACGCCACGAACAATTTCATACAGTAAGTATTTTGAGAAAATGTAAAGTTTGCAGAAAAATAATCTCACCATTTACAAGCCGTGTGAGAAAAAAATTACAATGTCTAATGCATGACCAAGTGCAAACATTTTCATAGCACAGACTCTTAACTGGGCTTTCTTCTAAGTGCTCTGCAAATATTATTTAGTTTGACTCATCATTTTATAGGGTAGGTCCTATTATTATACCTTTCTGAAGATGGTAAGATGAAGGCACTGAACATCTAAATAACTTGCCAAATCAGTCAGTGGCCAAACAAGGTTTGAAAATTGGGCTGTCAGTCTTCAGAGTCTGTGATTTTTAATCCCTTGGCTATTGTGATTATATCTCATTGTCCCTCTTTGCTAAGTGATAGTTCAAATAATAAGTGATCTAAACAAATAAATATAAAAAATGTTCTAGAAATGTTCTTAAAAGATACCTTGAAAATGTTGAAAAGCTTTCTTTTGAAAAAACTCAACCAGTTTGTACTGCCCACTCCTGCAGGAATGCCCACTGAATCTCCTTGCTCCTCACTGAGGGCAGTGCCCCTACACCCTGATTCCTCCCCTCCTGGCTGAGCCCCGCTGTGAGCTTTAGGCTATAGGGCTGCATCCATGGCTTAGCTCAGCTTTTCTCCCTTCTCACCACCCCAGTTTGTTTCCCTTTGCTCACTTGTAGATGTTTCAACTCACAGATTTCTCAGGCATGTTTGTGCATTGATCAGGAAACCATGTGTTGAGTTACAGCAGTTCAGATTGTTGAGACTTCAAGGGGAGAGACCACAGGGATCTCTCAGGCCACCTTCCTCTGATGTCCCCCCCCCCACTACTTTCAAAACATGGCTTTTATCCCACAGAATTTGGTCTCATTTCTCTTTGCTTTTTCCCATTGCCCACAATATGGAATTATATAAGCTCACACTATAAACATGTTTGCTTAGAAAATTATAGCTCTATTTTTATTCTTCTCTTTAAACATATGTATTGAGATAGTATTGACCAAGAAAGAACTGCACAATTATAAATTGTCTGATTCAGTAAACTCTGAGATTTTAATACATCATTAACACATCACCCAAATCAATATAATGTACACATATGTTATCCTTTCCTCATGTTTTTTGCAATACCTTCCTCTCAAACTTCTGGGAACCCAACCCAGGCCCCAGCCAAACACTAATCTGCTTTCTGTCAATACTGATCTGACTAAATTAGATTTTCTTGAATTTATACAAATGAAATCATGCAGTGCTTATTCTCTTTTGTGTAACTTCTTTCACTTAGCAAAACTGACATATTGTCATGTAGGTGATACATCATTAATAAAAATTCAGCTTGTTTGGACACACACACACACACACACACACATATATATATA